TGTGGAGACACCTCTACAGGTCAGAAACTCTATTTTTCTGACAAAAGCAGGGCTCAGTTTCTCTCAAAATACTATTTCAGTATAAGAACTATGAGAACTAGGAGCTGCTTCTGCAGGACAGAGAGCAAAACCAGAGCTGATCATGGGTATTGCAATGTTGGGGAGCTCAAAACATCACCCAGGGATCCCCTCTGGGAAGGGCCAACTTGAGCCATCACCACCTCATGCTGCCTCCCACCCAACAAAGCACTGAACACGAGCAAGGACCATCACATGCCAACCCTAAGCACACTGCAGACCTTCAGCTTCCAGAAGAGGTCAGGAAGAAAAGTCACAGGGTCCAAATAATTTTTGAATCCACCCCCCCCCGCAATCCTGCCTTACACCTTCACTTCCACACTTGCCAGCATAATCTGAATTTCCATCTAAGAAACTGGTTGCTGCGTTGAGACAGAAATACCTGGAGGTACTGCCCTGGAGAAATGGGTCACCAAACTCTACCTGCCTCATCCCTTCCTTCCTTTCTGCTGCACCTATCACAGACCCAAAGGGTCAAGACTGGAAACAAGTCCCACTCCCATCTTATCGACTTCTCCACCCTCCAGAGAGATGAATTATTTTTGCTGCTCCTCAACAGGCAGCTCATTCATTTTCTCTGGCATTTGTATTTGTTATCCCGGCTCACATCATTTAGTTTGTCAGGTCCTACAGAGAGCGATCAAGCCAGTGGAAATTGCTCTGGCGTTAATTACACCTGGGGTCCTCCATGGCAGTTACTCCTAATGAGTCTCCCCAACACGGCAGATACATCCCTAATTCAGGGAAACTTTTAAAAACTGGAACAAAGTACTTAAAAAGGAAGGGCAACCAAGAGCCCTAGTCACAGCCAAGCTGTTGTTGCCTCATATCTGTGTTTAAAGCTCTACATTAACAGAAAAAGAAAAAAAAGGAATTCTAGTCCCAGATTTGTGGTATTATCATGTATTATCTCTCCTTCAAGAAAATTTGGGGAGAAAATGCCTCACACCTGATGCAGAAATGGCTGAGGAGTTTCTTTAAATGATGTCCAGTAAGTTGACTGCACTATCTTTGATCCTGGTCCATGGAAGCAGAAATACTCATATCTCAGTGGACTAAAAAATCCTTGGAGACTTTGAGTTTTAGAAGGAGGTACAGGAAAAGATTATCATGTATTATCTCTCCTTCAAGAAAATTTGGGGAGAAAATGCCTCACACCTGATGCAGAAATGGCTGAGGAGTTTCTTTAAATGATGTCCAGTAAGTTGACTGCACTATCTTTGATCCTGGTCCATGGAAGCAGAAATACTCATATCTCAGTGGACTAAAAAATCCTTGGAAACAAAGCAAAAAAAGGCCTTTGAGTTTTAGAAGGAGGTACAGGAAAAGAGGAAGAGAAGACTCCTTACCACTCATTAACACATAAATAACGCTGCAGAGCAGTGGGCTATTCCCAGAGAAGTCAGAATACAGCCCTAACACCATAGCTGTTATATAAAATAAAATAAAATAAATATATGGCTATATATTGAGAGGCTGCCAAAGTCTGCTAACGCAGAGGTCTCTTACTGGGTGGAAAATTTAGCACGAGAGGGGAAACAAACCCCAACAACTTCAACTTCTTGACCCACCTGCTGCATCCTCACTTCCCCTCTGGCCAATGGCTTCCTAAAACTGCGGAAGTTATTAGAGAATTGCTACCAGAACCCACGAAGTGGCTTAAAAACATCTGCAAAACCCTGGATGATCCGTGGAAGGCCCCTGCAGGAAGGAGAAGATGGAGGCATGAGCCCCTTTGCACTCCACATCCCGGAATATTCAATATGAAAACGAGAAGAATGACTTGCAGCCATGATTTAATCAGATACAATAAGTATTTTCCAAACAGAAGAAGCCTCAGACCCAGCTTTCTTCTGCACCTACCTGGGGACTTCTCATTTCAGCCCGAAGCTGCATTCCCCATGCAGTTATTAACATCGTGCATACACAGATTAGAGTCATTAGCATCTCGACGTGGAAAATGTTGATGTGCGGGCACACAGCTACCTCTCGTCACGAAGGGGGAGATGCTACTTGCTGTAAATATTATAGTCTGCCCCATTCTGGCCTCCTCAGGAGCATGAATCACATCTCCAGATATTTTTTGTGCTTGGTATTATCGAGGCGTGAGTCACGGGAGAGCTGCGATACAGCAGCAATTCTCATTCTCCAAACCTTCCACAGGGCAGGCTGAAAATCCACTCGGATTCGGGTAATGAAGTTATTTCACAGATGAGTCTGCCTTGTGGTAAGCCATTATCCCTATCAACAGACAAGGTATTGTCTTAAAAACAAAGAAACTGCCCCAAAACACAGTCTTTACACCCGTAACGCTTAAAAATCCCATGGGGTGAGGTAAGGACGTGGAGAGTTTGTGGTTACTTTGCACTGATTTCTCCAGTGCAGGGAGGATTCTGCAGGGTTTTTTTTTCTTTTTTCCCTGGCTTCCATGGATTTCACCGCCTACTCCTACATTTTACACCCGTGAGAAATGGGGGCAGTTTCTCACGACAAGAAGCCCCTTCTGCAGCTGAGCAAAAGCCCAGGGACCCTGCGTGCCAGGGGGGCTCTGCTCAGCATCCGATGGACCAACAGCAGCCCTGATCCACGTTGGTGCTCCTCAAGTCGAACAAAATACAAACCAAGCCAAGACAATCCACCGAGCCCAGCCCAACCCACCAAACTGTGGTCCAAAACCCACCAGCCTGGTACCCTGAAGCCCCCGAGATGCTCTGCAGCTCTGAACCAGAGCAGAATCATAGAATTATTATTCAGGCTGAAGAAGAGAAAGCTCCTGGGAGACCTTCTTAAAGGGGACCTACAGGAGAGACGGGGAGAAGCAGGGCCTGTTGTGATAGGACAAGGGGTAATGGCTTTAAACCAAAAGAGGGAAGATTTAGACTAGATATAAGGAAGAAATTTTTTATGATGAGGGTGGTGAGACACTGGCCCAGGTTGCCCAGAGAGCTGGGAGATGCCCCATCACTTGAAACATCCCAGGCCAAGTTGGACGGGGCTCTGAGCAACCTAGTTGAAGATGGCCTTTCTCATGGCAGAGGGGTTGCACTAGGTGACCTTTAAAGGTCCCTTCCAACCCAAACTATCCTATGATTCTAATCATTTTGCTTAGAAAAAACCCTTAAGATCAAGTCCAACCATGAACCTGATAACGCCAAGTCCACTGCTAAACCACGTCCCCCAGGGCCACATCTCCATGTCTTTTCAGTCCTTCCAGGGATGGTGACCCCACCGCTTCCTGGGCAGCCTGTTCCAAGGCTTGACAACCCTTTGAGCGGAGAAAAAATCCCCCAATATCTAATTTAAACCTCCCCTGGTGCAACTTGAGGCCTTCCCTCTCGTCCTATCGCTTATTCCTTGGGAGCAGAGACCGACTCCCCCCCCCCCCGAGGCATCTCCGGTACCAAAGGAAAGCCCTTAACCCCGCTTTTACCTTTTATTTCCTTTTTTTTTAAAAAAAAATAAAAATATCTACTCCTTGCCAGTGCTTTGCAGTTAGCAACCAATTAACGGACAACGCTAATTCCTCACCTGGCGCCGCTCGCCCATCACCGGGGTGGGGATGCGGATCCCTCCGGCCCCACCGGGGGTACGAGCCGCGGGGCGGGGGGGGGGGGACAGCGTAGTCCCCTCCCCGGTCGGTGCGGCCGTGGGGCGGGGCGGGGGGGGGCTAGCCGGGGCGGGGCGGCCCCTGCGGCGGCGGCTCTGCCCGGCTCCGCCGGTGCGGGATGCTCCGCCGTTCTCCCGCAGCTCAACCGGCCATGGACGGCGGGGGAACGGCCGGAGCGATGCCCCTCTAGGCTCGCCGTGGGAGAGGTGAGCTGGAGGGGGAAGGGGGGACCCGCAGGTGGGGGTTTGCCGGCCTGCGGAGGGGGGGAGAAGGAGGCGGTGGGGTGCGGGATGCGCCGGTCCCCCCGCATCCTCCTCCACCAGCATCACCGGCGGAGCTCAGGGTCTCCCCCCTCCCGTGTCCCCCCCCTCTCCGTGTTTGTTTTTGGACTTTTAGCACTCTCAGCACCGTGTAGGGTAAGAATAGTACGGGAGGGACCAGCTCAGGGTGATGATTTGGGGATGTATTATTATTTTTTTTCCTCCTCTCCCCCCCTTCCCCCCCCCCCCCCCGCCGTTCGAACCCCCCCGCCGCGCCGAGTAGTTCTTGATAAATTGGTAAAATTCAAGGCCAGGTTGGACGGGGAGTTGAGCAACCTGGTCTTGGTGGGAGGTGCCCGTGGTGGGGTGGGGGGGCTCTGTGTGTGTTGGAACTAGATGATCTTTAAGGTTCCTTCCAACCCCACCGGTTCTGGGATGGTTTTTCTGTGAAACTGCAGTGTCATTGTCAGATGTGCCTCGCTTTTAACGCTTCGGAGAAAAAATCCCCCAATATCTAATTTAAACCTCCCCTGGTGCAACTTTTCCAGGGCAGGAAGGTTCCCAGTGGCCAGTTCGGAGTCATTGGAATGATGGTTAGCAATGCTTTCCTTTGGCTTTTCGTGATTTTTATTATTTTCCCCCCTCCCCCCCTGCCTTTTCTTACTTTCTGGATGGCGACGTACGCCTGCTGGCTTTGGCCATCCTATTTTTTTTTAAAAAAAAAATAAAAATATCTACTCCTTGCCAGTGCTTTGCAGTTAGCAACCAATTAACGGACAACGCTAATTCCTCACCTGGCGCCGCTCGCCCATCACCGGGGTGGGGATGCGGATCCCTCCGGCCCCACCGGGGGTACGAGC